CGGTACGTTAACTTCTACGCCTTCACGGTAAACATGATACTGGTTCAGTACTTTCAGTGGTTGCATACTACAGATACATCGATGTAGCAAATTTCCAAAAGATTTGTCCCTTCCTTAACAAACGTCATTGGTCATCCTTCTTAATGACCATGCAGTCCACCATTGATACCATACTGAATCGGGTTGATGAATCATTAGAATTTTTGACTGAAGAAATCTCAACATCTTTACTTACTGTTTGTCCTATAAATTTAACGCGAACCATAATAAGACCAGGAATTCGAAAGGCATCGAACATTAGTCGACCCACCAGTGATCCATGAAGCATCTTTTGAAGCCAAAAACGCCACTAATCCTGCAACGTCTTCTGGTGTTCCCAACCTGCCGAGCGGACTAGCTTTGGCCCACTGAGTACAAGAGAAGAAAAGATAATTGTCAAAATCATAACGGTTTTCACAGAAGGAGAATAGAAACCAACCATTTCAGATTCAACTTTCTGATCGCTGAAAGAGTTTGCAACTACAATGAATATGTATATACAGTGACATCAGTTCGTAGTCAGTTCATTAGAACATGCCATAAGTAAAAACTCACGCATTGGAGTATCTACAGCTCCAGGAGCATATGCATTGACGGTTATACCGTAAGGACCAAGTTCCTTGGCTATTCGAGTCACTAAATCAGCCTAGACCGAGAATCTGCTAGCATTGACACTGGATAATCGTTTTTATATACTTACCAACAGACTGGGTCAGCCCGATGACAGCAAACTTTGAAGCACAGTAAGCAGGGAATCCTGCTGAGCCTATATTTTCAATTATTTTACAAGTCAATTTCTACAATGTGGAACGCTGAATTCAAATCTTCACTCTGCTTACCTTGCTTGCCAGCGACAGAAGCAGCACCAATAATTCTATACAGTTATCATTCATGGGGGAGAATCAATCAGTTTTGAAATCTCTTCGAAATCACGGATACTCATGTGGTATAAAGATCTTTTATTCTAACCTTCCTCCGCGGCCTTGTGATACCATTTGCTTCGCTGCGTACTTGTAACACAAGAACATCCCACGAGAATTGATTGCTTGCATCTTGTCCCAATCTTCTGCAGAGGCTGTATACATGATGTGAGAACGAACAAAACTTGATGAATTGGTGTATGGTCGGCGTAGGGACTCACAGTCCAAGAGGCTGTTCCTCCAAAACACTCCTCCATTCGAAACCATCTTCAAACATGTACCCATTAGC